ATTAATACATAATTATACTGTTTCATAATTGCGATGTACAAGATTTCGAAATATTTCAACCTCTGTGGAATTAGATTGTATAACCAAGCTTTCTATATTTATAGTAAAATTTACGACAATTCTTTTATATAATTATAATACTTTTTTATTTGAAAGAAATTTTTTGAAAACCATCGATAATGTTATTATAATATATTTATAACACTTATATATAATGTTCGCTTATATAGTAGTTATTTAATGCACTCGTGTGTTGCATGGTGTATTCTTACACCATGGTGTGTTGGCCAAATTTCTGCGCCGAGCGGTATCGATCATGAAATCGGACAAGAAAGGATCGTCCCCTTAATTACAGTTGTTATCGAGCAAACTTTGATTTTGATTTTAATTTTCAATATCCCCCACGCATTCTGAAACCGATCGCGCTTTTCCTTTTAAACATGAGGCTAACGCGAAGGCCTTCGTTATTTTCCCCCAGCGATTCGCTCGTATAACTAAATTGAATTGAGACAAAAATTCTCGTAGCGGTACAGCCCCATCAAACGTATCGGGCCTTAATCATTTATATCATAATTCCCTACGATGTTCGTTTGTTTCTTCGCGTGTATCACCTCAGACATTCTCTACCGTATTTGTAATCCTATCCCCCAAAGCACGCGAATTACACGAATCTCTGTTATCTCATAGGTGCGCGTAGCTTCTCGCGGATGCGCTGTAACTCTTTCATCGCGTTTGTCGAAGCAGCGCCGCGAATTCAATGTCTTTCCGTGCCTGTTCCTTTCGCAACTGTCGGATCTTCTGCATCACCACTCTTAAATCCATTGTTTCTGATGAGGGATTATGGAGTTTCAACGCGGAGCTTTTTTCTCGTTATAGCCATGTAGTTCACCACTTGTCGAAAGTTGATTCCGGACGAGCCTCCAAAAATGTTACGCCCGCGGTGCGTTTCCGAAAGCGATACACTCGCGGTGCGCACACTCGAGACTCTGATCGCGCACTCCCGCACTCGTATACAAAATTCGGAGATATTGTAAAGAGAAATTTATAAATGGAAATACAGAACGTTATATGCCAGCTGCCAAAATCAAAGTTCGCTCGATAACAACCGTAACTAACTATAAGGACGACACGGCAGCCCCGACTGGCGACTACGTATTCTCGTTAAGTTTACTCAGCGATCAAGGAGTGATAAATTTCATTTTCAGTTCATACGCTTTTCGTTCAATCAAAATTATGTCATACCGTTGCATTCGATAATATATGAAATTACGGTCACGTTTAATATCTACTGTGGTGTATCGTTGATGCGCATACAGAGCGACAAAAGGTTTTAGTATCACAAGACAAATTTTCGCGATAATTTCAGGCGAAGTATGAGGCGTCGTCAAAGTATTTCTCGCTAAAACTGATGAAATTAATGAAGGATGAACAACATATAAGTATATATACTGCCGAGAGATCTGCTCGACGGCTTCGTGTAAATGCGATTGATAATCCGTATTTTTAAGCGCGACATCAAGAAAAATGCAAAATAAAATTAATTTAAACGACATGTAACTGGTCAATTTTTTATTTTCATATAAAATTATTTTTTCCTTCTAATTAATATGGTTACTTCAGATTATCTGTGTGCTTAAAATTTCTTACATCAGTTGTCTGCTACTGGTTCAGGTATGCAAGGAGAGAAGAAAGGTTGCTGATATGACGCTAAGCGTTCAGAAGAAAAGCTACCCTAGAAGTAAAGGTACCTATTATAGTTTTGAAAATGTTCACGATGTTACAACTATACCCTGTTACTTTTGTCCCTGGTCTCTCCTACTAATTTATATAAGTTTCGCAACAATTTTTAATGAAAACTAATTGGATTATTATAGAATTAACTTTATACAATCATTCCTTAGTGAATATATAGTGTAGCTATAAAAAATTTTATTCTATGACAGCTGCACACATTATGTCGGCTCTTTTTCATCTTTCGATCCATTGTGGAACGGTGGATAATTTACTGGTTTTGTCGATGGTCCGCTGATAAAAATCGTGATGTTACATATTTCTATGTAATTTGTAATATTGCCGCACATCCACATCTTCCGGTGACATTCTTTTGCGCCTACTCCCTAGATCCTCGAATCCGATAGTTCCCCATTTGTGATGACCGCCCTTCAGTCAAGCATTGACATCTATAAGTCGCGGGTATCCTCATTCTTTTCCTTAATTCTTGGCTCAGCGATATACTTTCATACTTTCGACAGATTCAAAGAATCACGCGATTTATTATTGTTTTTAGAACTTCAAAGTAAAATTACCGATTTTATTGCATCTCTATCATTATTACTCGCTCCGAATTAATCGTGAATTGTTTTACCGTAACAGGGCTCAAATTGACAAAATAGATTTTTATATACTTTTATTTTTCACTCAGTAATTGTTTTATTCATACTTGTGCTCGTACTTCAAGTAGTACTCGTTTTCAAACTTGCGCTTCTCGAAATGAAGTACACGTCAGCGCGATCGATCGCGGTGCTATTCCTTATGTTGAACAAATCGCTGACGGAGGTAATAGGCATTAATAATTATTCTCGACTGATCAACGATGTTCACAGATATTATCGCACGTCGAGCGTTTCTTTCGTGCGGTCCAGCAATTCTGGTAAGTACCAAAAACAATTTCCGGCAATCGTTTGTTATATTGCACTTCTAGCAAAAAAAATTTCCACAAACTTTTGAATAAATATTAATTGAATTATAATTTTTCGTACATAAATCATTTCGATTTTATAATATCACATACAATAATAAAGGTAAGGGGTCTGGACTTTCTATTCTGGTTTTAAGAGACGATTTCAAAGATATTTTTGAAAATATTTTTTATGTAAATAAAAATTCAGACTTACTTAAAAAAGAATATAAGTATATAAATACATATGTATAATGTAAATGTAAAATATCATTTATTTTAATTTTTGTTTTTCAAAGCAAGACGTTATGATTGGAGCGTTAGTTAATTGAATCAGTTAAGCGCACTATGCACCGGAATATTTTATCCTGCAGTATATCTAATTTTTATTTTTCTCAAAAAACGTTTTTAAAGAATATTCTTAAGACTATCAACTTTTGAAAAAAGAAAAAAAATCGATTTTTGGGAGTCTCAAGATCAGAATATTTCATACAATTGTAAATGCATTATCAATATAATACTTTATTAATTCAATATTATTTAATTACAAAATATAATTATGGTCTAATAAGTGTTTCGTAACAAAATAATGTCATATATGTACGAATTATTATTGTTATTGGTATTGAATTATTATTTACTTTACGGACATGTGAGATATGTTTAGTTTTTTAAATTCTAATATTGCTGTCAAATGAACAATAAGATAAATAAATTCGCCATAACATTTTTTATTTTTAAAAATTTTCTTCTTTTTTATTTCATTGTAGAATTTAACAAAAAAAAATTAAAATAATTTTAAAAAAGCTCCCGAGAATGTCAAATATAGTATAAAACCTATAGGAGCTACCTGATACAGATGTTGTGTATTAACCGAGTTCGATTCCCGGCTAAGGGTAATGATATTTTTTGCAATAAATTTCTTTACAGATTTGGGGAGGGAGTGGATTCCTATAGATGCACGTTAGCATCAAAGAGATTAAATTGCTAATAAATTTAATTGTTACAAGTGGATTCTGGCCTCATGTAATAAGGTGTTATGCAACGTGCAGTTTGCAGGTGGCTGGATATTGTAAAAATTAATAAACACCAACATCCGTGTTAGCTAGCTTCCATAGGCTTTTACTGTTCTGTATTAAAAAAATTAAAAATTATCCCTGGAAAAATTTATTAATATTATGTCACGATCTATAGAATATCAGACGTTGACATTAAATAAAAATATAATACATCAAATGCAAATATATGTGCAGATTTGAACACGACGACATTAGTGCACATGTGGTCGCGGGAATTCTCACGACAGCAAGTCATGACCATGACCACAACTTTTTCGGATTTGACAAGGAAGTACA